GGGGATTTATTTGTCTGCATTTCTTTCCTCGCCATTTCTTTGACAAGTTCTTTCGATATACTAGGGTAGTCTCTTTTTAAAAATGGAAAGATTCTTTCTGTGTTTACTTTGGATGGGTTATGTGAGTTAAAAAGGAGAGCTCGTTGTTTAGTTATAGATATAACATTGTCATAATCACTACTAATAAATTCTTCCAGTCCATGAATTAGTTTATTTATCTGTTTTAAAAATGTACAAAATCTTTGATATATTAGACTTTTAGAAGAATATTTAGCAGAGTTCGTGAAGGCCAGAGGAAGAAAATAAATGCATTAGTGAGAATTTTATTTTAATTGAGTTCTCTATATTAACACTTTAAAGAAAGACTTAACTTACCATCACCCATCTACCAACTTAACATCACCTTCACTTACTGACAATTAATTTTTAAAAACTACAAAATAGAAAGGATTCAAAAACCTTTGTTCAAGGAAGTATTCACGAACGTATCAAGAAATATTTTAAACTTAATATTCTTAAACATACTTAGATAATATTATCAATTTAGTTACAAAAATGTTTAAACTAAGCTTCTGAACACATTTTTGAAGCTTTCTCAAGCAAGTCAAGCAAGGAAGGTGTGATGAAGGAAAGAGGAGCTAAATTAATATCATGGTCCAGTTTTTGAGTTATTTCAAAGAATTACAAAAATACAATATACATATGTAATCTTTTTTTATTCAAATGTAAGCATTACATTTCAAAAATCTATTGTTATTATTGATTTATTGATATATTGAATACTAATTTGAAAAATATATTGATATTAAAGTCTGTGTTATGCTTAATAGATTGCGGCCCATAACAGACCAAAATTGACGAAGCCACGGAACTTCGAATGAAATCATTACTCTGGTAATTTGTATCCACGTCAAACTTCTTTGTAGGTTTCACCCTACTGCTTCAACATTTCGGTAAACGAAAATATTTTATTCATTTGTACTTAGAATTGGCATATTTCGAGAGAAATTTAATATAATGTAAAATTTTTGCAGCTTTGGAATTCCGGAAAATTAATAAAAGTATACGGTCCCATTTCGTCCTAAAACACAACATCACTATGTTCTTATTTTTTCAGACGAAAAGCTGCTACCTTTCTAAAGTAACGATGAAAGAACAAGCGTCGGCGCCAGTTTCCAGAACTTCACAGAACAAGGTACAGATAACAAATTCCAGGAGGAACTCTGTTTCTATTTTGTATGTCATAGAAGAAATATTACAAACTTTATTGGGCACATATAAGTGTCAAAAAGGATAACTGTTTGCAATGATCTTATAGTTGTTAATTTCGTATTGCGGTTACACATGAAATACAAAGGTGTGTCAAAATTAATCGGCATTTTCTTTTTCTCGATTGTGGACTTTGGTGATACTGCCTTCTGCGCATGTGTGCTTCGAGTAAGTACTAAAGCGGTTACCAGAGCGACGCCTGACTTTGTTAATGTTAGTATCTTGTGGCTGTAGCTTTCTCAACATTGCAGCTCTGTCGGCGGTATACACCAAATCTGAATAAAGATCATGATTAGTTTTTGTGGTCAGAAGGTGAGTCAGGGGCTGAAATTAATGTAACTGCAGCCAGAAATTCGTACCAAACGCCGATGACTATTCTCCAAGAAAGTGTTTTTTCTGCATGGAACCCACACACGGCCATACACGACCCACTAAACGGTTGAAACCATTAACCGTTTGGGTTTTGAGGTGGTCGAACACTCGATCTATTGACCAGATCGCGCTTCGTCAGGGTGTTATCTCTTTGGGCCTCTCAAAGATGTCTCACAAAGTCGGCCATTTTTTTTACCGTGAATGAAGTTCAGACATCAGTGCATAAATTATTAATTTATCATTTTACTAATTAATTAAATTTATAGGTCTCAAGAATTTTTATGAAAATGCATAGTGGGTTCACAGGCGAGATACATCTTGACCAGAATTCAGATTGCTATTTAAATATGTTTGTTAGTGAGCAGTGAGCATTGATAAATGGTCAACCAAAAACAGCTTTTTGCGGAAATATGCAAGCTTGTGTACCGCTGGGCAAATATCATTTAGAAGGAAGGAAAATACGTTGAAAAGTGCAGATAAGTTTTGGTTTTCCCTCGTATCTGGCCATCAATGTGAAGCAATTCATTTAGCGTAGGCTTTCCGACGCTTGGAAGGAAACTAAATGGACCCGCCGAACACCTGTGCACGATGAATTGCCTAACCACTCCGTTGCAGGAAATGTCCCACCATACGTTGATCGGCCCGAAGCGAGCATTCCTGCCCCGTCCACTCGTTGCCAGAGGTTGCGAGCGCTAGTGTTTGCTGGCGCCGTCCCAGCACTCCTTGGAGTGCGCGGTGTAGTGATGCGTCTTACGCACGTAGGCGAGGCCCGAGGGCATGCGCACCGTCTCCACGCCCTTGGGGAACAGCTGCGCCGCCTGCTCGTCGCGCACGCTCGGCTCCAGCATGATGCTCTCCCCCATCTGCAACACGCACACGCGCACGCACACGCACCTCAGTTTCTGGAAGACTACTCTCATTAGTGGATTAGCAAAATTGCACGATTTGGTTCAAGATAGAAGAAAATGGAAGGCAGTGTTTGAGCAGGCCAAGACATTCAAGACAATGTTGTAGCGACGTAGAAAACGAAGATTGTCCTCTCAGTGTAGTGCATGTTTTTGTCGCGCAAGATGGCCTTCTCCGTTGATTGTCTCCCTGGAAGATGAACGATGAGATTCGCCGACTTACTCGTCGGGTAGCAGGATTTTCGCCGAACAAGTATCTCCCACCACCGGGGCACCGCCCGAGCCGGGACAAGCTCCAAGGTCCCGAGCGGTCTTCTGGCATGTGTGGTGGAGTAGTGTATGCGTGTGTGTAAGCAAGGGCTGAAGATAAGACAAGGAAGAAGAAGAAAAGACCGTGAGCGGTCCATGGCCCGTTTGTTTGGGTAGTGACCCGCCAATCGCCTGGTATTGACCGGAGAAACGGAAAACTACCAATCAGAGCAGCCGACCACTAGAATTATCTATGTATCAGTGAAATTTGACCTAGCTATTTAGCACTGTCCAAAATCCTGCCATCATCGGGACTCGTACCGTATAACCTCCCGGTCAGATGCACAGCAGTGACAACAACTGGTACCCTGAACCACTTCAGCCGTCAGCAGTCAGCTTTGTAAAACATTTATAACTAACTAAGTTCAAGCCAACTTTAATTAACGTATTGGTTTCGATTCTTCTTAACTGACAGAGGACAGATAAATCCTCATCACAGGCCAGCCATTAAGAATATTTTCTTCCATGCGTTCGGTTGCGGTAAGTCGTTCACATAAAGTCGATAAACATGAAACGGAGGAAACATTTTAGAGATAGTTCGAAATCAGACATATTGAAACAGAAATGGACGATGAGAGAGGAAAGAAAATATTGAAAATTGTTAGTACTGTCCTAAAAAAGGTGTCTAATTGGAAGGAAGTTTTGTAAATTAGTCTCGAAAAGTTTCAGAAAACACCGCTTACCGTGTCTGGAACAGTGCATGGCTAAAGAGTGGAATATAGGATAATTTAGGCTCATAATGTACGGACTCTTTCTTTTTCGGGCGATGATCGCTCTGTGGACAGTGTTTTTCTGGTTGAATACTGAGAACTAATAACAAAGGAACATTTTTTTACAGAATATGTTTAACTTGTGGTACATTATGCATTACTGCTTGATATTACTTTTACTTATTGGACTAACTTCGTGGAATTTTTTAGTTGTGTTTTTGTTTCTATAAGGCAAATGTTTGAGGTTGAGGCGACGTCAAATAACATGTCTATATTATGTGTCTAATGAGTGAGCTGTGTCGACATGGAAAACGCTGAACGTGATGAAATTGGTCAAGTAAACAGTGACAGAAAAGCGTTCGAAGATTCCGCAGAGTTGTGCCATTAATCTGGATAAGGCGAAGTGGGTGGGGGGTTGAGGAGGCCAGCCCAAGAACGAAATGATTCAGCGTCAAAGCAAAGGAGAGATGATGTCCAAAGGGCAAATCGCAGCTGTATCTAGTGCACTACAGTGACAGGAAAATCACAGTCATGGAGTCAACAGTCGAGTCAACAGTGGGGGAGAAGATGATTTCGTGCATATGCGCCATTATTGCTAAATGATCTTGGCTGTCCGGGTGACGCCGCGTCGAAGGCTGTGTTGCCGACGTTTCCACCATCTTGTTACCATCTTCCTCAGAGCAGATCTGCGCCTCGATTGCCCCGAGGAAAACCATTATAAGATCGAAACGTCGTTAACACAGCCTTCGACGCGGCATCAATCGGACAGCCAAGCACATTTACATGACTCTGGCCGCGGAAGCCTACGACCTCACGTGCCATTAATGATGCTAGGGCAGAAGGACGGAGATAAAAGCCACCGCAAAGGGACCCTCGGCATGTTTCTGTGCCGCCCTCCAAATTGCGCTGTTCAGTCGCCTCATTCGCCGACGGAACGCGAATTTATTTATTTATTTGTCCCTCAAGCCCCCCCTTTACCGAGTCGCGGTCCCCGGAAACACTATAGTCCCCGGAAGAGGCACTGAATGATTGGCTCGTCTCTGGCTCGTATTTTCAGCCAAGTCCCATTTGAGTCACTTAAAGTTCCAACCACACCATCCTCACACACGGATTTTCCCCCGAACAGACACCCCCTCTTACATTTATTGAATTTGAAATTCTATAGCCTGCGTTTGAGAAGTGCCTCTTCCCGTCTTCAATATGTGTGTTCCCACCTCCCTACGCGGGAGATTACATAAATATCGATCGAGTCCGCGAGTAGCGAGCGGAGAGCGGTGCGCACGCCGCGCGTCGATTGTTTTCTTCCGCGTCGAAATTCGCCTCTCGCCCCCGTGACTGGGCGCCACAGAACCCTCTCCCAACGAGGCAGAATACACTACGTAGAGTGGCTGACCCTATAAAGCCCATTCACAATGCAAGCATAAACATAAGCATAGCGTTAACATAAACCTTAGGACTCATTCATAAGCGCACTCATTCACAATGCATTTATAAGCATAATATTTAAGACGTTAACTTAAAAGCTTGCAAGCTTCAAGCTTCTACGGTTATGCATAAGTAAGATATAAGAAATGAACCAATCACAGTACGTTAACTCAAAATCGAGAATCGAAATATGAGATAAGTCGATAGAATAACTAACCCCTTATGGGCCATGGGCACATTCGGTACCTCGAAATCGATTCTTACATCCATTTAATAGTAAGCTAGAATGTCTCATAGTCATCAGAAAATCTTATATTGCTTACGTTTATGTCAGATATTGTAAATACTTCAGTCTATAATTTATGTTAATCTTTACGTCGATGTGTTATGCTATTGTTTACGTTTACATTGTGAAAGGGACTATAGTTTCAGAGCTCTTGGTGGAGGCTCGCCGAACTAGTGGCCACCATGTTTTTGAAGTCAAAGCACACGAGTGGCGAAGTAACCTGGGTGTAACCGTCCGTAACCAGCGCCAAACTTAATGCTAGAATACTTTGTTTACCATAGAGCGCTGCTTTGAGTGCAAAAAACATGGCTTCAATTTGTTTCAAAGATGGAGGCGCTTCAGCCACTCTATGTAGAATATTCTACCTCGTTGGGGCTTCCGTTCTGGAGGCGCACAAGCACATTTGCGCTCTTCTTCTTTTTCTTGTGCTTCTTCAGGCACCACAGCACTGTTGGAGCGCTGGTCTCGCACTACGGAGGCTTTTGCGCGGAATAGCGTGCAGCAATCGACAACAATATCGGTCTTCCGCGCATGCGCAAATGCACAAAAGTCATGCGAAGCTTGAACTGCGCATGCGTGGAAGATCGATATCGTTGTCGATTGCTGTAAATCTTCGCTCTGCGAAAATTCCCTACTCCCCACCCGTACAATACCTATCCGCTCGCAGAGCCCTCAAGGGAGAGCTCCCAGAAGCCACGGCGACTGCGTTTCCACTCAGGCAGAGGCTCCTCCGACCCGGCCACGCAACTGCGGTCTGCTCTAATGCACCTAGATTCTTACTTTCCCATATGCGTAGTGGATTGATTGATTATTTCGCGTTTCCGGGCGCCTCAACAGCTAAGGACGTTAACTCCTATTTCCTAATTACAAAATCATACCGTACACATTTTCTCCAAAACGAATATTTTCATTTTGGAGCTAAAACTCTAAAACTCTAACTGGAAAGAGCACGAAGCAGCGATCTGCAGCATCGTACCTCAAAAGTGGGTAAATAATTTGGGATGTATCTTCTATTTTTGCATGAAAAGACGTGCAGAGAATCGAATACTGACTGCAAAGTGAGGCATGGCTAAAATAATGAAATCTCTCACGTAAATAACTCGTATGCAAGAAGATCTCGAACAAGGATATCGTGGTCACGAGGGTAGAAGGGAAAAATGGAGGAAGTCCCTTTCGGAAGTTTACTCTTAAAAAGTTGTAGAAGTCTTTCTGATTATCATAACTTCAGTGTTCTCTTGTTAATACGAACTTCAAAGGACCGAAATAATCCATGTTAAGAGTTACAAAAATGCTTATTATTATTTAAATGTTATTCCATCATTGTATACTTCCGTGTTCCTACGTCTCCTTCCAGGGAGGCACATTTTGTTTGTAAAAAAGCGTTTCAAGCGAGTTCGTGCTAACGTCGATTTACTGTACTTTTGACGGGATATGCATTTGTTAATTATCACCTCCGAGTTTCAAATACGTCAATTCATACCATGCTTGTTACAATTAAATAAATACATCCGTTTGCCCTTTTAATGATTGTTACGATTTTAGATCAAAAAGGAAGCATACCCACTCTATTAGACGGAGTGATCGCCAGACCACGTGCTACAATTCAATGTAATTGCTCAGTTGATTGCAATACACTGCACTTTCTCTCCTTCAACTATTAGTTCATTCGGCTAGAACGTTTTACTGGGTAATAGGTCATAAACGTTTTCTTTAGGTATGTTACCTGCACGTAGGCACCGGTTAAAATGTCATGTTTTCGACCTCCGAGTCCGTGTGCTAACTCCGACAGGTCCAGAAAATCATTGGTTTTTTTTTACGTTTTTCGGGTTTATCTATGTACATTTTTAAACTTAAGTCCAGTAGAAAAATCATTCAAATCAATAATAAAGAAAATAAACCTCCTACGATGTTTGTGTAAAATATTTCTCCCGAAACTAATTACCAAACGAGGTACAGCTTTTCAAAAAACGATATTTCTTTCATTTCTTCAAAATGTTTGTAATAATATAAATATTTGTGATATTATAATCAACTAGTAATAAATATAAATATTATTACACATATTAGCATTATTTATCCCACCGTCGGTGTAAACACTGCCACCAAACGTGCGCAAATATTAATGAACAAAAAATGATGGGCATGTATATGCGTGTGCCAGCTTCGTGTTCCAGCTTAACTCTTCAGGAGCCAAGACTTTTCACCCAAACTTGATATTCATTATTACT